TGTGTTTATATATATACAGATATATAAATATATATATACAGATATATAAAAAATATATCATATAAATGGTAAATATATATATATACCATATATATTTATGCTTTGGGAGTAAGTTCTTCTGTGCATTAATCTTGCAGCTGCCCCATATTGCACAGGTGAGTTATTGAGGTGCTGGAGCTGCCCTGTGGGACCTCAGTTCACGTTTCCCCTTTGCACCTCTGTCGCCCCAAACAAAAACCCATGCTTTGAAATTCCTGTTTGTTTCAGCATTCTTGGATCCTCGCAGCAGTGTCGTCCCCGTGGTATCTGAGCAAAGGACAAACTCAGGGCCTGTGGCAAGTATCTGGTGTGTCATTCCAGCTGGGGTATTAGTGACAGCTGAACTCACCGCCCCGCGTGCTGAACCCATTGAACTCTGGAGCCTTGGGAACGGCTCCGACTTAATGTCTGGGGATTCCTGAGAGCTGCAGCAAGACGGTAGACACCAGTGTGGGGGGCAAGCAGGTAAATTCATGGAGAATGAAAAAGGGGGATGGAGAGAGGTGTTCTGAAGGGGATGTCCTGCGGTAGGATGCCAGTGTTCAGCCGGCTGATGTGGAGGTGAGAGAGTCTGAAGGCCTCAGCATTGGCTCTCGTAGTGGCTTCCCATGCAACCTCAGGCAAGTCACCTCTCGCCCTCCCTTACTCTGCTGCTCTTCTCAGCCTTTAGTCATCACAACTGCGAGTTGATCAGGGCAGAGATTGTCACTTGACATATGTATTCAGGCTCTCAAAATCATGGGTGCTAATCGTAGAGCAATAAAAATGGTGATTTCTTCAGGAGTTTTTAAATGAATTAGCAAAAAAAGAAAAGAATAAGTGTTGTAGATCTCAGCTGTGTGAAGATCAAGGAGTCTCTTATCATTTACCTCCAGTTCTTTGAACTGTGGCAAGAGCCTGCAGGCAAGTCAGCCCAGAGCAAAGTGATTGCATTCTAAGAAACGACTGAAGCAGAGAAGTTGATGCACTTCAGCATTTAGCACCAGGTAAAAGTAAAATGTGGAAACTCCCTGGGCCTGAAAATGTTGTAAGGCATAAACTTAAGGCAGTGTGAGCAGCCTTAAGTCCCTGATTTGTCGAAGTTTGTATGTTCTGGTCCTGGCCTCAGCCTGGAATGGGGTGTTTTGGAGGCTTGGTCTGTACAGGCAAGTTGCTTTTCCCCCTGGTACTGGTGAGTGTTACAGATCAGAACGTAGTTTCAAAGGCTTTCATGGGATGCACCTGGTGATTTAATCCTGCCTCTGACTGTAGTGGAAACTTTTGTTGGCAGCAGATTTTAATCTGTATTTCCAGGAACCCCTTGAAGCTTGGTGGTGGTATAAACAGAATATGGATCTAGATGAGTTATGGGGATGCTCTCTCACTATTAAAGGAGGTAATTCTCTGCACTTGGCCATTCGCATCTAGCGAGCGGCACCTCCATTTCATACACACCCTGCCCGGCCATCAGAATTAAGCTGTAACACTAGCTTGGCTCAGCCATCCCCGCAATGAGCTGGGAAGGACCTCTGTGCGGGAGCCTGACCTTTCCCTTCAGCTCGAGCTGCCCTTGTTGCTCAGCAAGAAATAAACAATTGCTGGCAAGGGCCGCTCTGCAGCAGCGCCCGCCGCCACCGAAGGAGCCGCCACTGCGGGGCCCAAGAGCCCAGAGCTGGGATCGAACCGCCTTTCTGCGTTAGGCTTGGAAATTAATTGGCCGTTTGGTGACAGGAGAACTGGTTCTCGGCAAAGTGGGGTGTTTCCTGGGCAGCAGTGAAGCAGGGGGGGAAAGTTTGGTCATCGGGAAGGTTGATTTCGTCTTTGCATTGAGGGCGCCGGCCGCCCTGGGGTGTTATTCACTTGGAAAGTTTTGCTGAGGTTGAAGGAGGTGTTTGTGCTGTGCCTTATATTTTTGTACACTGAAGTCCATTCTTTTAAAATCTTTATTATGTAACTATTACGGGTTTTGTTCCAATTTTTGTGTGTAGAAGTGGTGTATGAATAAAGGCTGCAGGATGAGGCCATTATAAGCTAAAATAACAGATAAACATGTCCTTTAGAAGAGGCCCAAAGGCTCTTGTGCCATAGGCTTTATTGAATGTGTTCACAGCAGTGTCCAAAGGCTTTCAAACCCCAATGGCAAAAGCCAGAGCTTGCAGACTTGAGTTGTATGCTCACTTGGTAACAGCACAGAGGTAATTTTTCTCCTTTGGATTTGAATTCCTGCTCCTCTAAAGGAAGACTGAGATTTAAGTCTTTGGATTTTCGGCAAGACTCAATTACAGTGCATTGAGAATGAAGAATGCCCCGTGAGTGTCATTTATTCCTCATGCAGCTGCTGCTGGGTAGTTATTATATTCAGTGGTTTTGTTTTTAAAATCGGCATAGTGGGATTTGAGAGTGACGTTAGCTGGGGGGCTCTGGCTGGTCACTAACGAGAAGCGTCAAATCCAGAGTTGCTTGTGCTACAGGAACTGCTGCTTTTGGTGAAATCCAGAGGGATGGAATTCCCACTCTAGTGCATTCGTCTCACGTGCCATTAAAGCTGGATACAGTGAGGGTGTTTGGCTCAAGCGGAGGCCGGCTCTGCACCCGCTGTCGTGCCCGGCCTCCAGCTGGGCTCTGCCCAAGGCAGCTGCACGTGTTGGCTCCCAGTGGACAGCCTAGCTCACTCCGGAGGCAGCCCAGGTAGGAGGGAGCGGGTGCCTCGGCCTTGGCCAAGTGCTGCTGACACAAAGCAAACTGCTCCTGCAGCCAACCTGTGGCTTTCGAGCTTTAATCGGTGCCTTCAGCACGGTGCTCTGCAGTGAGCAGCCTTCTGCTGAGAAAAAACGCAGCGTAACCATGGGCAAAGGGTCAGCACGGCAGAGTTCAGCCCTCTTGGGGATGGCTTCTCAAGTTATTTATTTTCTCCTTCTTTCCCACCATCGTTCAAAGTCCTGCAGTGCTGCTTGAAGATTGGAGCGCGGTGCACCGTGCTCCCTGGAGCCGCCACGGGCCCGGTCCAAGCGCAGGGCGCTCTGGTGCAGCAGGGAGAGCGGCTCCTCCTGTCCCTTCTGTGCGTCAGCAGCAACAGAACTTTAATTTTTAATGGACATCTCTTAAAGGCAAAGAAAACCTCCCTTGCTCCTCCTTGCCCCTGAGCACGAGTGGGTTTGAGAAGCCATCACCTAGGTGGAGGCAGCCCAGGTTGGCATCTGTACCGTGACCCAGTGCTCCAGCGGGTTCCTCCTCCCCATCCACTCTCTTTAATCTGAAGTACTCTAGTTTCTGCTTTGAATTTCATTTGTTTGTAGTACGGGACCAGGGAATATATTTCAGCATGGAAACCTATCTGCCAAGCTGGCTATGTTTAGTGCCCTCAATTAGTCAGAAAGGAGTTGCGTCAAGTTACAGAGCAGGCTGATTGGCTTTGAAGTTCAGTTATTTAGTGCCAGAGCGGGTCTGACAAAAAAGGCTCTAAAAAAAGCCCTGCATGGAAAGAAAGAAAAAAAAAGAAACTAAATTCTCAATGATTCAAGTTTTTCTAAAGAGTCCAAAAATCTGCAATTGTAATACAAGTGGTATCAGTAGGTTAAAACTCTGATGGGCCCTCGTTGCTCCAAGAAGACTAGAGATACAAAGTTTTATGCTCCTTCTGAAATCCCAGATACCTTTGACAGCGGCCTGTGTTTTATGTTCCTTTGGCTTTTCCGTGGCTTAAACTGCTCATGAAGTGTGAACTACTAAAAGCAAGTGCTTTTGTGCTCGCAAGCATTTATTTGAAAAGATAATTGGATTGCTTTATCTGGCTTTGCACATCAGCCAAGGGCCACTCTCTTCTCCCCCTGGCCCCAAATAGTATAGAAAAGAAGAGAGCACTTGAAATCTGTGTTTTCCTGTATTGTTTTATTATTTTTCGTGTTTCGGTGAGGATAGGCAGGTGGCTGTATTTTCTATTGGACTTCAGCTCTGTTGCCACCACCATGGGAAAGAAGCGATGGGTGAGCAGAGACTTCCAGAAGGGTTGCCCCAGATGACTGAAAGGGAGAACAACGAGGGTTTTAAACAAAACACCTCAAAATAGAGTAGCCTGTTGGAAGCCCTCTGCCCTTACCGCGCTGTTGCTGTTGATGCAGCTGAATCAGCGAGCTGGCAGAAGGCAGCAGTGCTGCAGGTTTGTCTGGCAAGGCTGCTGTGGAACGAAGGGCCCTTCTCAGTGCAGAGCACGCAGGGCTTCATGCAAAGCCACGAACTGCCCGGCCTGTGTCACGCAGTAAACCTGAACGTGTGGCCAGACTTCCCTCCTCGTGAGGGAGCTCATCCCTTTGATCAGGGCGGCAGACTGCCCGAGATGAGGGCAAGGAATGGCAAACTAACCAAAAATGCGTGTTCCTGGCGATGACAGTGCCGCAGCCGGCAGAGCTGCTCCCTGCCAGCTCGTCCCTGTGGCGACTTGCGGGCTCTGTTTGGCAGGTTGTGGTGTGTCCTTGCTGCTGTCACCGGCAGTGGCGTTTAACTCCCGGCATCATTTCCTTGAACTTCTAGAGTTTCATCAAGCTACCGCTGGGAATTTGGGAGCATGGGTTTCCTCTAAAGAAGACTTTATATAATACAAAGCAGCCTCTATTTGAGTCATTTGTAGCAACATGGCTGCTGAGGAGGTAGGAGTTGTCTCTGTTTATCCAGCCAGTCTGCTTACCAAGTAATAAAAAAAATAGCTTAGACACCACTAGGAATAATGCAGGAAAATACCAAAGACCAGGTCATTGTGTTGGGGCAGAAATGCTTTTTGGATTGCCATGCAGGTTTCCAGTGCTTCCAGACCAGATTGCATTGGACATATGAGGCTTCTTTTTCCATTTAAATGCTTTGAGCTTTTTAGCAAGTAGAAGAGACAAAACTCAACATGTAAAGCAGCCCACTTAACAGTTGCACGTAGGAACCTCCCATGCCAGCAGTTTCTCCAAGGGCTCACTTTGCTGTCTTCTGTTTTCTTGCAGAAAAAGATTTACAAATACAAGAAGGTGCTCAGTAATCCCAGCCGCTGGGAGGTGGTGTTGAAGGAGATCAGGACGCTGGTGGACATGGCGCTGACCTCTCCGCTTCAGGACGATTCTATTCACCAAGCACCCCTGGAGATCGTCTCCAAGCTGCTCTCAGAGGTACGAGCCCAGCAGTGCTCCTGCAGGCCGGTGTCACCTTGAGATGGGAAACAAACCGTTAAGAAGTTCAGTGATGGGTTTTCTTTTAACTTGGGTTTTCAAAACTCTTCTTTAAACGTGCTCGTGACGTGCGTGGAATTTGTACTTGCTGAGGAAGAAGAGAATTTGACCTGTGTTATGTAGACTTCTAGAAACAACAAAAACAACAAAAAAACAAAAACTTTTTTTTTTTGAGGCTCTTTTTCTTTATGCAGGAGATTTATAGGGATCTGAGTCATGTGTTACTTGAAGTCAATTGTAAAGCTTCCTTTAACTTTCATTGGCATTTGATCATTCATGTACCAGGCCAGTAATACGTGTATACCAACAAATGCATTATGCAACTATTTTGTTGTTACAAATTCTGTCAAAGAATTTTCCTTCTTCTGAAACATCTATCCTTATCTTGTGTCCATTTAAAATAGTTAAGCTTCTGTAGGCAGAGAGTACAATGCCAAGCAGGTTTTGCATGTCCAATTCTAGTATACAAAGATTTTTGATGAGCAAAAATGTTGCTATCTTTTTTTTTTTCTTTCAGTGAGCTGAGATCTTGGTGGTTTAAAAAGTTATAACCTCAAAGTGGATCATGTTGCTGAAAACACCAAACACAGACCAAACACTTGCAAACTGAGGTAGCATAGGGGACTTCCAGTAAGCTTCTTGATTTTACTGGAAGGCAAAATGCAACAATTCACTTATTACCCACCAGTAATATGCAGCACCACCATAGTCCTTTTATTAGGTTTCTTAGATACAGACTGGGTTAAGAAAATACATTTAAGAAATATAGAACTAGAATTAGAGAATGGTTTTAATTTGATCAATTTTAGTCTAGAACCAAGTAATAGCAGTGCTGAGCCTTTCTGCTTGTTTCTAGTTGTAACTAGGAGCATGCTAATATATCAACTGTGGAAACTGCTTGTACATTGATTTCTTCTGTTCAACCTTTTCAGAACAACAATTTAACCACTCAAGACCATGAGAGCATTATTGTGGTGAGTATCCTTCTGTCAAAAGCCTGGGGACAAATCTGTTTTGCTTGATAATACATCTATTAATGTTTTTCTCTGCATTTCCATCAAGGATGGTGAATTGGTGCAAGATCAAACACATGTGGCCTATTACTTTTTCTGTGTTTCACTGTTGCTATTGTCTTGTTTCATATATGAATAACAGTAAAGCTTCCTCATCAATATATATGGAACAACACAGCATGTTTAGGGTTAATCTTCTCTCGAAATGGCCTTCTAGCTGGGCAACACAGTGCAATGCTCCTACCTGCATACACACTTTAAATAGTCAAAAAGCATAATTTCCAGATGTACTGTATAAAACTCTTAGGTTTAGTAGTTTCCTGAAGGGATGGTGCTCCCATATACGGAAGGTCTCCATTGCTGATGGTATATGAGCAAGTGACTGTTATTTTTGAGTGTGTATATTTGTGTTTGTAGGATTTATAAAAATATCCACCTTAACTATTGCCTTTATTCTGTAGGTTGCATTTCTTTAGACCTAGAAATAAGAGAATCAAATGGCAGCTCTCTTCCTTATGCAACAAAATATAAAATCTCAGCAATATATCAGAGTGGAATTGCTTCCCCATCACTGTAATTTAATTGCAGTCGCTGGCAATTTCCAGGAGACTTTCCCAGTAATCTAATCTAGAACTTTACCACCACCTGATCATACCCCATCTCTACAAATCTTTCTGCAAAACAGCAAGGCAGAAAGTAGCTGCCAGTAGGTGTGAATTGCATTTAACTGCTGTTTTAAGATACCATTTTAGCAGGAATCAGCCCCTGAGATAAGTTTCTAAAGTGGCATTTACTTTTCTTTGAGATCTGCTGTAGGTTTGCGTTTTATTTTTCTAACTCTGGTGCCAAGATTGATTCAATCTTCCATTTAAAACTGGTAGTTACAGGAGAAGGATCTTTTAATAAAAGATGTAGCCCTGCTTTGAGCAGGGAAGTTGATCCAGAAGGCCTCCAAAGGTCCTTCCAACCAGACTTATTCTCTAAGTCAAAGTGGCTGCTGCATCGGTTCAGATCCTGCCCTTGCTTTTTCCAGGTTCTGCAGGTTGTGCCCTGAGCATTAAGGGACGGCGTCTGGACATTGAGAACTTACTGCTATTACAGAACTAACCTGTGCTATTCTTAGGAAGCCTTGCTATTACTGTGTATTTGTGTAGTATCATAAACAGTACACATGAATTGCTCTCCAGATGGAACCATGCTTCCTTCTCCAGCTCACGTTGGAACAGGCCAGTTTTACAGCAGACCAGTGTTACATCTCATCCCTTCCTGTTTAGGATGGGGAAGCACACGCTGCCATAACGGGGCAGCACAAGACAAGTTTCTCTTTTTAACCCCAGCCCAAATAGGGAAAATAAACACATCTTCTAGTTAGTCTCTCTTCCCCACTGCAGCTGTGATCTGCTTGACAGTGGCTATAGTGCTTATTTCCTATGTTCTGTAGGGACTGGGTTCAAAGAGTAAAGCCTAGTTTTGGTGAGCTGATGACCAGCCAGTTAAGTGTCTCATACACTGATCTTGTTGCTTACTGGACAGATGTAAACCCAGGGTGATGCTTGCAGTACTTGAGGTCTGGCAGATGCCATAGCAAAAAGATGAATTCAAGAAAGATCCTTACCTTAGTTTTGAAAAGGTAGAAAGGATATTCCAGCTTCATTGCAGTTGTATTGCATTCCCCATCAGTGAAAAACATGCCCCATTGCTGGACCACCACAAGAAGAATGAGTAGCTGGAGACTGATGGCATTAAAATGTGGAACAGAAATTTCACAAATGTTATGTGTAACCCAAGAGATCTTTGCAGATGTTAAAATTCACATTAATGTCAACCAGTTGTGTGTGAAACTGGCTATTGTGAAACTGATATGTGTGCTCATTTTGAGCAGCCTCATTTGGGCTGAAATCCTTCAGGAGAAAAAAGAGAAAGCAAAGGAACAAAACCAGGCTGCCTAGTGAAACTCCACTTGCCATCCAGATAAAATATCTGTTGTTCAGTTGCATACAAAATGTCCCAGCTGCTGTGTTTAGAGTCTTACTTTTAAATGGGTACTGGGAATCCCTCTAGCACAAGCCTGGAAAGCCCGAAGGCATCATCCCGTGGAGAGAATACGTTGTTCTGGTCCCAATTTCTGATTTTCAAAGGAAACAGCAACAACATAAGTTCATTAGACTCCCAGTGGCACGTATGACCTTTACTATTTACTGAGCATAACCACATTGGTTTGCATAGCAACAAAGAAGGAACAGTTGATATCAACTTTCGCAGGGTTAGGTGCTTGATTCTGTTGAATAGTGTTCTTAAAGATAACAACAGTGTCGTGTCGTTTGGGTGAGTTACTCCCTCGTTGGTACTGGCTGTATGTGAGCTTGAGCTCACTCTAAAACACATGTTTATTTGGTGTATTTCTAGTTTGATGCAGAGATGTAATTACTGAAACAGGAAGCAAGATTCACCCCTGCTATATTTTGTCTTAAAACAATGGATCTGATCCTGATTTTTTTTTTTGTAAAAATTGTATTCCTTCACTGATGCAATTAAAAGCAAAATTTTCCAGGGCATTCCGAGCAGGATGTGTTTGAGCAGAATAAAATAAATGCACAACCTATAGTCTGATTGCTGTATTTATGCTTTTGTTCTTTTTTAAACATAAAATGAGCTTTACCTTCCCTGTTTCCAGTCTTAATTAATTTTTTCCTCTCTCCTTTATTTTTTTAGGCAATTGCACCTTTGTTGGAAAACAACCATCCTCCTCCTGACCTCTGTGAATTCTTCTGCAAGGTATCACTACAGAATACCTGTCTTCTATTTGTGAAATCGCTCTCCCATTTCAATTCTTTGCCTCCTTTGGTTTCCATCAGAGATGGGTACCTAATTCTCATTAAAGGTGTGGGATGGGCAGTGTTTAGTTGCAGGAAGGGAAATTGTGATCACGTGTTGTGGAATCTGCCTTCTCAGAGGTTCTCCCTGGACAAAACCTTTAGTCAGCAAATGTAACTACAAAACTGGCCTTGCTTTGAGGATTTGGGGTTTGAGGAGATGGCCTCTAAAGTTCCTTTCCAACCTAGATTGCTGTGATGCTTTAAGTCTGTGTTGATGGGAGAGGGGCTTGTTGGTACCCTGCAGGCTCCTCCCCAAGTTTTTAGTTTGAATCTCACCGAAAGGAAGTTTGGGAAAGCTTAATTTAGCCCTCAGGTTGCATAATCTTGAAGTAATCCAGGCACGAGGTGTGAAACCAGAGTCCAACTTCATTATTTCTGCAACTCACAAAATGACTTGTTGCCCATTACAGCACTGCCGAGAGCGTCCTCGGTCGATGGTTGTCATAGAAGTGTTCACCCCGGTGGTACAGAGAATTCTCAAACACAACATGGTGAGTAGCTGAGTTACAGGAATTTACTCAGTCTGAAGATGGTTTTTTAATTGTGATAACTTGTGTAATTAGCACTTTTGCCTATAATGCACAAAACACTGATTTGTTTCAACTCCCCAGTTGTGAGTGCTGCATGTAACCATGTGTTGCTTTGTAAATGCAGAACCATAAACCTTCAATGGGATTTTGAAAAGTGTGTAAGCAAAGCCATGATTTAATGAGCATTTGTTAGGCCACAGTGTCAGCTTATGCAGCTCCAGCTCTCTCCCATCTGGCCCTCTACTCCTATGTATGCTCCTTGTGCCATCCTTGGAGTTATAACATGAATCTGGTTAAAAAGCAATTCAGTAGCCAATTCAGAACAAAGACTTTCTGATTTTTGAACTTAAGCCCCTCAACACTTTTTATTTAAGATATCACCAGCTATAATGAATAGTTGAGTTCTTACTGAGATTTCCCAGTCAATTCCTTGCTAATGATTGGAATAAATGCTAGGAGAATGCCCTGCCAACTTCGCTTTTTTCATCCTGTGTACCAAGTTTTCACCACCTGTTTATGAAGAAATGCATAGATGATGTGTATTTCTTTCCTAAGAGAGGTCTGGGTGTTTACAAGCTGTTTACAAACTCTGAGGCATACAGAGTTTCCAGCTGCACTTTGTAATTTGCACAGAGAGATTTTGCCTCACAAAGCTGTACAAGCAGTAACGAATAAATATTATATTTAAGGCAATTCACTTGCCAGAGATCTCAGGGATGGTTTTCAAACTTCTGTAAATACACAATCAACTTCTTTTCACTAACTAGTGCAATTTTAGAGACCATCCACTGTGTCCCTGTGTACAGCATGAATCCAGTAGAAAACAGTTCATATTTCTTGTTTTTTACAACAATATTATTATTTAACTCACGCAAGTTTGCAGAGCTAGCTAGAGAGGCTAAGATCGCTAAAAGGTCGTATTCCTGGCACTGTGCCTGTGCTCTCCAGACATGTAAACATTTTTGAATATTCTGTAGTGTTCACTGAAATATTCTGTAAATGTTATTCTTGGATTCCAGACTGATTTATTTTTTAAAAAAGAATCCAGAGCTCTTGAGGGGTCTCAAATAAAATCTAAATGCATAGGGTAATGCTTGTGTTTGGTTGCCTTCAGAGGATTGGGTATATTTACCATACTTAACATCTGCAGATTGAAAATCAACATGTCCATACCGCAGTGTGTAGTCAGAGAATTTATGGTGTACTGTATAAATTGGAGTGGATTTGGGCACTTTAGGACTCTCCAGGGAGTTCTATATTGAATAATCCTTTAGAGAGAGAGAGGGAGAAAGAAAGAGAGAGTAGGTGGATGTGTGTGTGCATACATGTAAATAAAGCTAATTATTTTTTAGGACAATCAGTATTGTTGCCGGTAAATTTCATAACCTTAGGAAGCCACGAGCAATGTGCTCACAGCAGGAAACCACTCTCAGTGTTCGTACCTGTACCATTAATTTGTTCTGTCTTCTGAGAAGTTCATGACAAGTTCTGTTCCACAGTTTCCCACCTAAGAAATAGGACTCTTCATTTAGCTATCGTTTTGAAATTTCAATTTTTTTTTTTTGTATTACTAATACAGCACCTCCGCTGTATTTGCAGGAGCAGACAATATAGGTTGCATGTGTCATTTTGTAACTGGTATGGTACCTGGGCATCACACTATTTAGGGAGCTTTTTTTTATTTTAGAGAAACCTGATCTATCCTCTTTATGATTTTGTGGACTTTCGTTGCCATTTCAGGTAGGATGCATAGCAAAAAAAATCATGAAAAAAACTGAGCACATAAGCTGCCTTGAAAGGACGTTTTATGAAGTTAAATGGCACCAGATGCTATAGGACACACATATAGCCTCATGCTGTTGAACCAAACATATGTGCATCTGTCAGAAGGAGTTGTTAGATTTTCAATAATTTTAAATTGCAGTACCAGCTGTGGAATTGCCAAAAGTCCCTACGCTGGATGTTATTACCAGGTGATGATGCCTCCCCTTGAAGAGGTCACTATTCTGCCTGGAGTTGTATTTGTAAATGTAAAACTTATGAGGTGTTTAAGATAACTTGTGCTATAAATGTGCCAAAAATCAAATTAAGTAACAGAAGGTTTCAGTGCTTTGGAAAGGGATCTTCCTTTCTATGTTCCCCCAGTTTGGTACCATTTCCAGCATTGCTTTCAAGATTTCAACTCCCATTTATTTATTCAGGATGACTCTTCTTAAAGTCAGCTGCTTGAGGGATGGCTGGGAAGGCTCATTTCTGCTCGGTGGGCCTTGTTCTCCACTTGTTAATTTAATTTTTTAGTTCTTTAATGCCTGTATAATAAGGTTACACCTGTGTACATTTGAATAAATGTGCTGTGGAATAAGACTCACCAGCAGATAGAAAGTTTCACTGTTTTCACATCTCAAAATAGCAGCTGATCTGAGGAGATGGAGGCTTACAGTATGTAAGTATTTTTCCTGTTTCATGGTAGGAAGGACATCACTGTTGAGCTCATCTGTCAAATCCATGATGTGCTTTGAGTATAAATCACTAAAGAAGAAACTGAGCTGTGTTTTTGTATTTTATCCCTTACTGATAAGTAACTGATAAGTAAAGAAGTAACTGAAAAGTTAAAATCCACACTTTTGTTACCCTTTAAAAACTGCAGTTATAAACGCAAGAAAAAAAAACCAACAAAATGTATTTCAAAATGAAGAGTATGGAAGAAATGTTGTAAGTGCAGATGCTGTGCACTCTTATTGCATTAAATACTTTTTACTTTGAACATGGGTCTAGGCAGGAAGGGAGGAGAATTGGCAAATACACCAGTATTTGTAGTAGCTTGTCACTTCAGCGTACAGTGATATTGTACTCCAGAAGCTGTCAGTGTAATAATGAAATAAATTCAATTGTGTTTGGGTTGATCTCTGTTGAAAACACACTGTATATTGCAGGTATCTTTCACCATCTTCACTGAGTCTCTCCTTTTTGGACAGGATTTTGGGAAATGCCCTCGGTTGCGTCTGTTTACTCAGGAGTATATTCTGGCTTTGAACGAGCTGAATGCTGGAATGGAGGTGGTGAAGAAGTTTATTCATAGGTTAGTTGTATTTAATGCTATGGAGTATCTATAATGCTATACGTATGCTTCACTATGAACTTCTCTCAGCCCTGCTCATCCCTTTACTCACTGTTGTAGTAGCTGGTGGGTTTGGTGGTACTGGCAAACAGCAAATTGCTGAAGAGGGACCATGAGGCGTTGTTCCTGAAGTCTTTTTTTAGCTCATTCTCAAATATGGCTGGCATCTTCTGCCTATTTACATCCTGGAGGTGAATGGACCTTGCTGTCTGTACATTCCTTTTATGCATTTGGAATCTGAGTCACTCCAGAGGTTCCTATTACCTTTAGGCCATGTAGTGCTCAGTCATGGGTGAGATTTTATGGGAACTGTAGAGACAGAGCATTAAACAAACTAAGGACATGACTTAGTCTTAAAAAAGGACTGTGTGGTGGGGATTTACAGGGTTAAAAGAACCCTCTGTTTTGGTGCTCCTTGAGGATTCCCCAAGGTTGTGTCTCCTCTTCTGGCACCCCATTCTGTCTGACTGATTTTGCCCACAGAAATTTTCATCACAGTGATGTCATCTTGGTTTTTGTTTTTCAGCATGCATGGTCCAACTGGACAGTGCCCCCATCCCAGGGTCCTGCCAAATCTTGTAGCTGTCTGCTTAGCAGCCATTTATTCGTGTTACGAGGAATTTATCAACAGGTCAGTATGAATTCTCAGCTGACCACATGTTACTCACTCCCAAGCCCGTGGTGTCAGAGTCTTCATTCAGGCTGTAAACAGGATCTCTGTGCACATGGGTATGGGTATGTGAGCACGTATTCCTTCTTGCTCTGCTCACTGCTAGCATTACATGTTGGTGTTCTGTTCAGTTACGCAATTGTGTGCGTGCTTCTGTGGACAAGGGACTTTGTTTAAGTTCTTGTGTTTGTAAACCTGAAGGACCAGAGGACATTGAATCTCTTTGGTCACTTCTCCTCACTGTGGCATGTTTTGAGGCATTCAGTATAGCATATTGCCACTACACATGGTGATAGGAGGAGCTGAGGAGCTCAGCAGTTCCCACTGCATAAGTACTACAAACTGTAGTAACTTCTAGGATTCATATCAACCCCCAGCTGCATGCTGATTTTGGCCTCTGTTGAGATATTCCCCTGAGACAGACTGCAGCCATCACTAGCCCTTTTAGAGCAGGAAAAAAAAAAAGATCAGACTCCAGAAGAGCTCTGTCTCTGAGCGTTAAGCACTAGCTGCTCCGAACAGTGTCAGTTTTAATCCCTTCCTGGCACATGAAATGTGTGTATATCTAGCGCAAGAGGAAGGGTGAAATTTTGGCGAAGCAGTTATGTTTAAAACCCAGTGTATCTACAGCTCTGAAGCAGAGCTGGTTTCATGATGCTGTCTCAGTTATTGTGGAAAATTTGATTCCTGACTTACCACAAAATAGATGCTACAGTTCTTGACACATGAGCCAATTTCCAGTAGACACTGAGGGTTCCCCTCCACTGTGTTTCCTGTTTGCTTAAGCCTATCTGACTTTCTTGTTGTGGGGCACGGACAGTGGCTGCTTAGTGTCCAAAAAAATTCCAGACGTGAGGAGTGCAGACAAATGTCTGGGCATGTACTGTAGCCAGATACATACTTGGGCATGGATCCTATTACAGCTTTGCACAACTTGGATGGGAAAGTTCACCTTTATACTAGACTGGTGTGTCAATTAGACTGATGAAAAGCTCAAATCTTCGCTGAAAAGGGCCTGCAGGACCATCTTCTCAGAGACTTTTAATATTTTTAATTGATTTCAATAATTAGATTACATGGGAGAAAGCAGTTCAGTGGGTTGGGGTGAAGTACAGTGGGAAATTGCAAAAGATTTTGGCTTCTCAGTGTTGCACGCCCTCTCTCTGCTGTTATGTCTGACAACTGAGATTGTTTGTTTATTTTTCAAATTCAGTCGAGACAATTCGCCGAGCTTGAAGGAAATTCGGAATGGCTGCCAGCAGCAATGTGACCGAAAGCCTAATCTTCCCCTCCGCCTTCTTCACACGAGTCCTGACCTGGTCTCTCAAGAGGCCACCTTAACTGAATCCCGGCTCAAGCCAGTCATTGTCACCTCGAATGAGATCCACGTGGAAGTAGAGCGCAACAACACAGCGAATCAGAAGATGACAGCTAATGTTGGCAATGACAGCGAGCCCAACCTGATTGACTGCTTGATGGTCAGCCCTACCTGCAGCACCATGAGCATTGAGCTGAGTACCCAAGCAGACAGGATCCTTGGCTGTTATGTTGAAATACTCAAGATGCTGTGAGTAACTATTCAACAGCTTTTTGAACAATGTCATCTCAACAGTGGGGGGCTTTTCCCATAGGCTGCTCTTCTCTAACATCTGTGACTAGCAAGATGTGCAAACACACGGTTATAAATCTTGCTGGATCACTAGAGTCCAGCCTCTGAGAGAGACATCTGGCACTGCCAATATATTCTAAAAATAGTGTTAGGAGGATGAAAACAGAAAGCTTATTTGTACAGTGAGCCTCGGGCGTATCACAGAAGACGAGATATTGTTGCCAGTGGTTTCTGTTTTGTTGCTAGCCACCATAGGAAATCCATTTGTCCCCTCTTGAGCTCTTGGGATTGCCCAAGACAAAGCTCCAAAAAGACATGTCTCTTGTCACCTTAGAGCTTGGGCAGTGAGCAGTTCTGCTCCTCCGACTTAAGCAGGAATTGAATGAGGTCAGTGTCTCTTACCTAGATGTTCTCCCTTCACCTGTACGATTCTGGAAGGTTTATGACTTGTTCAGATGTATAGTGGTTCCTCTCTCTCTTTTTTTTTTTTTTTTTTTTTTTTTGTCTAGTCCATTTAGCACAATGCAGCCCTTCGGGTCCAGTGAGACCTGTATTGGTAAGTGAATGCTCCAACAGCCTTCACAAAATAATGGCTGAGCACTTGTGGTTTCCTGGAAGGTAAATCCTATGAAATGAATACATCTTTAAGAGGAATATAAAATAACAAGCTATTTGGGAAAAGCTCATCTGTCACCTGGATAAACAAATGAAATGAGAAAATAAAAAAGATGGACTGCAGAAGAGGGGTTTAATAGAACATATATTCACAAAGGGTGGTAAAATAACCCCTAATAATTTTGCTGAATTTGACAGCCAATTTTTCTACTGAGTTGCAGTATGTCTCTAGGCAAACTGTGGTATTTCTACATTAATTATTTTTTAACAGTGCAAGACTTAATTAAGGCCTTTTATAAGAATCTTGGACTCTGTTACAAATTGTGAGCACTGGCTGCAATGAGATAAATGCAAATGTAGACGTTTGCTCTGTAGGGGCTGCGTGAAGTGCAGTGGCCATGATGGAGGAATTTGTGAAAGTTTTGCCCCACATTTTGAGTGTTTTCTAAGTACATAGTACCAGTTTCAACATACCCTTTCACTTGCCGGTGAAATAACTTGGAAATATACACCCAAGCATACACTCAAAATAGGAGGTAAGGCCTGGAATTCAATCTAAAATACTAGTGCCATTAGATTCTTGGGCAGAAGTTACTGAAGGATATTTTTTCCTCCTGATCTAGCCTTCTCTGATAAAAATGTTTTTATTAGAACAGCACAGCACCTGATTTTGCTTTATACTTGGCTTCCAAGTCTTTGTGCATCCATGTGCTGCCTTCCGCACATTGTGTATTTATTCCTCTCCATTCCTCTTCCTTTCCATAGACAACAGGAACTCTCGCAGTCTTGATGCTGCCTTGGATGCTGACTGAGTCAGCATTTACACTTTTGATTTCATCATACAGCTGACACAAACAGATTCACGAATGGACATGTTCTTCCTACTAGTCTCTCCAGATTTTATAAGATCTGTATGCCAGGGCTCCATTCCCAAATAATTTTATGCACAAAGAACTCTTAATTTCACTTGTGATTGCTTCCTTTTTCTAATCAAGGTTTTCAATAGCACCAATGAAACTGGGAATCTGTGTAGCCCAGGTTATAGGTGTGGAGCAACTCCGAGTCCTTTTGCAGCTTGTACAGTGGTAATTCTGCAGAACGAGCCCATGAGACATGCGGAGGGCATGGCCAAAGCTATTACCAAATTGGTGCAACTCTTCTCAGATTGCCTTACCAAAGAGTCTACACCCTGCTTGAGAAATCATCTCCTATAAGAAATGAGAATATAGGGCAGTTTCTGAGGCAGAGCCATGGCTGGTGTAAATTGTCCTAGCTCCACTGATTTCAATCTCTTCCATTCCCATTCGTCCCTTCTTTTTTTGCTGAACCAGAAACATTGACGTAGAAATGGGTTTTCTGAACAAAGACTTTCTGATGCTCTAACAACTGTAGCCATACTTTGAAAAGAATATGAAGGGGAAAAAATGAAGAGCATGTTAATAGGAAAAAAAGCATTCAGCTATCTAGGAGCAGAGCTCAGCAGACAAGCCCTAAAATAATGTTATTATTAATAGCAGTTATAAGCAAAACATAAATGAGTTGGTTAGCATTGAACTTAATTGTTCTTTTAGGTGTTTGACTTGGTATCGTCATCAAAACAGGAGAGTCACCAACAATGCTATCTTTTCTACATAATTAACTTAGAGCAGCAGGGAGTAATGTTTTTAGATAAATTTTAGTTATTCAAGTTTAGCAAATAAGAATTCTTAACAGTATTTTCAGCAAAGGACATTTATTGTTCAACTAACTCCCACACAATGCATACTCTTGAATAAAAACACTCTAATATTGATTAAAATGTATCGGTAATTATTTAGTAATTGCTGTATTACCTCGCGTTCTATGCAGAAAGCTGCACGTGCAGATTGAAAAACTCAGCACTAAGAAAGTTCTGCTGTGTGGTTGATATTGTAGAACTCAGAATATCTTTGACCCTTTTTCTGATGTAGTTGAGTAACAAAGCACAATTATCACATTCTAAAGGAAAACATAAATTCATGGTTTTAAAGATGCTGGCAGATGCCCAGCAGTCTGGACACATTTTAAAGGAGACACAGACTCTAGTGGAACATGGTATTTTTTCCTGCACTCAGAGATGGATCAAATTTTCGTGTCAGTATTCTCTAATGTGTTCTTCTGGACTCGGAAAATGTCATTGATGCCAGTTGGTGCCTGTTGAATGCTGCAAGTCTTAAACTGGTATTTAGAAAATATACCAAATTAATTGAAAACTTTCTGTTCAGCATATTAAATTAAAGGATCTGAGAGATCCTTAGCGTTGTTGAGCTCCTGCCTGTGTGTTAATGTTTCCATACATTGGAGAATTTCTCCTAGTCAAACTCTGCTTGTCCAGCAGAGCTGTGGTTGGGACATCTCCTGCCGTGGGGTAGCGCCTCACAGCCCAGCTGTCCTGAGCTGCCACTCCTGGAGCTTTCCGTGGCCTTTCCTCGGTGCTAACTTGCTTCTTTTTAAACACAAGCAAACTCAGCTCAAAACAAGGCTGGACGTGACACAGCTCTTACAGATCAGAGGTTCTACTTCAGCTGAGAGAAGGTCTAAGAAGGCCCTTTCTCATGGCACCCCAAGCTCGACGCAGTGCAGTGTATTCAGAGGAGCTCCATCTAGGGAGAGGGAAAGAACAGGGAAGGGTTAAGGGGATAAGTTTGGGGGAATTGGCCGTATTTTTATTATTTGATAACAAATGACTTAGGTAAATTATTTTTTTATCCTTGTCAAGCTGCTTAGTCTAGGGACACAAGTTATTGTCAAGTAGTTGCTTCCAATCTCCATCTTATTCTCTAAAACCAAGGAGGACTTGGTGCTTGCAATGACAGGCCCAGCAGCTTTCCAAACACAAATGCCTCCCGGAGCTTCCCTGCCTCCTCTGCATTCCCCAATAGGTCAGTGGCATACTCGGAATATCCCAAGTGGATTCTCCTGTGTCGTGTTTATCCGGGTTGCCCTGGGCTGCTAATATGTTTTGGATTGTTTGTGCCACACATGACATGTGGGCAGGTTTTCATTTTGGCGAAAGGTGATCCCTAGGAAGGAAAATGTATTATGTCAACAGGCCAGTAGCAACGAGGGCCCGAAGGCGATGTAGCCGGGGATTATTTAATTATTAGGGTCGCCTAATATGCTGGCCAGCCCCCTAGAAATGTTCCTGGTGGGGAGAGCAGCAGCGAGAGCCCCGGCGTGGGTAGTGCCGAGCTCAGCGCAGCCCTCCCTGCCGGGGACTCCTCCGCAGCCGCAGCTCGGCTGCCCTGCTGCCCCATCCCGCTTCAAATCCTGCTCACGCCACCGAGCGCCCGCCCTGGGGAATCTCCCTCCTCCCCGGCTCTTGTAAGGCCAGCCCTGGAATTCAGGGTTCGTGCCTAGCGCGTGTGTTGAGCTCAGCGCTCTTTGAAGAGCTCCGAAGGGAATTCGGTCACAGGCGCTTCCAAGGGCTCCTCCGGTAGCTCCACGCACCGGCCCTGCCGCTCCTGGCGGGGCCTCTTTGTCAGGCTGTTAACTGCAGCCAGAACTAATCCAGCTCCCATTCTGTCCCTGCTTCAAACGCCTCTATCTTGTTCAGCTCTGAATGGACCGGAAAAAAAAAGAAAAAGCCGACTGTTTGAAATGAAAGGAGAGAGCAGAGAGCTAAGATGAGCACAGAGAGAGAAGAATGTGCCTTTGAAGAGCGAATGGGTGGGAGGAGAAGAAACACCGTAGGCTTTTAATAAGTAGTTCAGTTTTATTCTTGTGCTATGTTTGTTTCACGTCTGCTAGCTCAGATTGAAGGGATTAGAGGTTGTGTAGATTTTACATTCAGGTGCCACTCATGTAGCCAAAGTCTGTGTGTTTCATACAAAAGTGTATTATTCCTTGTTTCTTCTCCTAGGAAAATGGAATATGGTTTATTTTCACTGCCCTCTCACAGACATTACTTGGCCAATGCATACGGTACCTAACCCTCAGTTTCAAAAAGCAAAGAGAGCAACCGTGTCCAATTCTGTCTGCAGTGCTGCCCTATTAGCAAGCAACTTTCTTCTTCCTCTCTCAATTTCCTTTGAAGACCGGCCATGAAAAATTGATTGGTTCACGTTATTACTAATCCCAACTGTCCAGATTGCTTAAGGAGGAATTTTTGTGCTGTAAAACTTAACCTGAGATGTGAAGGGGAACAAAGCCGCAAAATGGCTCTTGGCGTTAACAGGGAAAGATTTGTAGGGGCCTTTTACCGTGTGGTGTGAAACACCTTGGGACTGCTTAACCAAACCTTTTGACATTGGGCTCTCTTCTGTTCAAAATGCAGCTCCTGAGCCTGTTTGCATTGCATCTAACAGCAAAATGTTTTGCATTTAGCGTAAAGTTAGCTGCTTAGTAAAATTCCATAGTATATGTATGTAGGAAAAGACTCTCCTTGTTGGATTTGTCCCTTCTCTGAGGACCCAAGCCCAGAGTTGAGGTCCATGCAGGTACTCTCCCGCATACAGATGAATGTTCGGTTCATCTCTAGGCCAGAAACAACGAAGAGCCACACAGTGAGGCTTAGTTAAAAAGTTTGTTAAAAGAACTCACAGAGCTCAACTTGGAGGTGTTTTGTTGGAGTTGTCCTTGGCTTTTTTCAGTATATAGGGCAAGCCCCATCTTCACGTGTTTTGCAGGATTCACTTGTACGTAGAGACGAGAGAAAAACAAGCCCTCCTGGAAAGCCCTGCCTCGTGCCTTGCTTTGCGGAGGCTTTAATGGAGCTGCTCATCTTCTCATCTCTCTTTGTTTAGTCTCTCGCAGCAGGCAAGGTTTGTTTTGCTGCTGGAAGGAACCTTGTGAATGGGAGATCACAAAGCACCGGACCTCGACCACGCTACAAGGAGAGCATCCCGCTTGGCAGCACTTGCTCCGTGTTTAGACCAGATTTTTGATAGAGGAGAAAATTAATCCCAGTGCCTTGTAGAGTGACTGGCATAGGCTGAGGGTTTCTTTTTTGGATTACTGTAGCTTGACATGCGATATGCTTTGTGCCTCAAATGCTAAAGATAACGAGAGGAAAATAAACAAGTTGCATTTATCAGGGGCCATAGCCAAGATTCCCCGGTGCTGTTTGTTTGAGGAGAGCCAGCACCAAGATTTTTGCCTGGATTGTGCCATCTCAGCTGCCTGCCTTCAGTTGCTGCCTTGGATCCAAGCTCTTTTATCATTGTTTAACAACTGCAGGTGACAAAAAAGGGAATTTCCCTGAACTTAACACTGTTTCGTGCTTCTTGACCTGCTGGCAGGGAGGTTTCAGGAAGTGACTGGAAAGTATGCCCCAGGATTAAATGGGAATGCACTTGTGAAAAGGGCAGGACTGTTTGCCTGAAGTTGCCTATCACAATTATAGGTCCTTAGTTTTGTTCTTTCTTTTCCTTTTCTTACACACATATAGCCAGGGAAAGAAAATGCTGCATGTTGAGCTTGGGACTTTTGCATGGAAGTGTGGGAGAGGAACCACTAAGCCATCCCACAGTTCTGTGTTGCTTTTGTCTGTGCTTTTGTTGTTGGTGGTTTTTTAATATATTAGGTGACTATCAGATAGGACAAAGTTCTTGCTGTTTGGTTACTTGCCTGGGGTGTTATGTACACCTTAGAGTCCCATTACTCCTGGGCAACTGATAATTCTCTCTCCTGTTGATTTGTAAATCAGGAGATTTATCCCTCTTTTTTTTTTTTTTTTTTTTTTTTNTTTTTTTTTTTTTTTTTTTTTTTTCTTCTATATGTTTCTTCCTAAAAATATTTATGGACATATTTCTGCATATAAATTTTCCCTGTGTCCCTGAAGTTGCCTTGGTGAACTGTTCAACATGGTCCATACTAACCTGTCTTAGTTTATGGAAACTTTTATTTTATCTGGTCCTGGTTCAAAAAGCAGATGAGGTTTTTGGAATTGCCACCATCTTCCATTTCACTCTGCTAGAAGCTTCTCTTCACAAAAAAATACATTATTTTGGAAGGCTTCCTGTGCATATGTTGTCTGTGTCTAATGCTATCAGGAGACGCTGTTCATTTTAGAACATTACACTTCGTTCCTTCCTAAAGAAACATCATCCTCCTGTGCCAAGTTTGCAGTGAAGCTGCAGCCAGCAATGGAGCTCTTAAACTCCAGCCCAAAGGATAACAGCAGTAAGAGGGGCCATAGGCTCTTCCACACTATCTTTTCCAGATATCCCGAGGTGTTTGACCCCACGTGAGGTTTACTGTGTTTAATCCTGTGTCTGGGCATTGCCTGGCGGGTTCTGCTCGCGGTTTTGGTGACAACCTGGCCAGTTCCTCCCTTGCTTCCAGGCACACTGGTGTGTTCCTCAGTTCATTCATCTTCCAGTGATTGCAGCCTTTGTGCAGTGTGTTATAACTGCACTTAATTGATGGTAATTAATAAATGAAGTGTTTGAGATGCTCTGAAAGAGGAGGGGTCTCACTGTGCAAAAGGCTGAGAGTCCTGCATGAGAATAATGCGCTTTGGTGTGTGCAGGACTAGGGGGACTGTGTCTTAGAAACAGGAGAAGGAAAAAAAAATGAGTTGTCAGTGTGCTCAGAAATGTGTGGAAAAGTCCTGCATTAAGTTCAGCAAAAAGCCCTTGGATGAATGTGTAATTGCTTTATAAAGCAAGCTGAAAAAGGTGCAAGGTATCCGTGGGTCAAAACGGGGGAGTCTGTTTTTACAAATGGGCTCACCTCTTATAGGGAAAAAAATCCAATTAAATTCAGAGCTGAGCTGTAAATAATCACGGCCTGGTAATTGCTGTACCAACTTAGATGGAAGTATTACCTAGTTATTAAATGTCAACAGGTTTCATAAACAGCAAATATCTTTAAGGTGTCATAAAGAAGGCCTCTCTGGAGGTCAAGTGTTTCATTGTAAATACGGGATTTATTGCGCCTCAGCAGAGAATGTGCTCAAAATGGAAAGGGAAAATGTCACCATAGATCTTCAGAATGTCTCAATAAAACAGAGGAGCTGTTGCTGCCTGCAGTAAAAAGCTTTTGACTCCTTGAACTAACTGTTGATAAACCCCATTGAGTACATGCTCTGCTGTTAACAAAATGTTCATCTTTCAGGTCAGACTACGATGACTGGAGACCAGCCCTGGCCAGCTTGCTTCAGCCTATCCCGTTCCCCAAAGAGTAAGCTTGCACCATCCTAGCATTTACTGGTGGTTCTTGTTGCTCTTGGTTTATGGTGAAATACCACGTCAGGTCAAAACTGAGGGTACTGGGAGCTGTGTGCTTAAGAATCTTAAGCTGCTGCTTAAGAATCTAGAATGATTTTTAACTAGTAGAAACTTGGATTTTTCCTCATCTTTCTCTTCTTTTTGCATTTCCCTAAGATGATCCTGAAGAGAAAAATGGTTGACTAGAGAGAAACAGGCAGGAAAGGAAGGAAAGCTGTGAGGAAGGGAGGAGAGTGAGAGATTTAGTGGAGGAGGAGTGTGCTTTGCTGGCGTCACAGAGACTCAGATCATTTGTACTTTGCATTAAATGGAGAAGCTATCCCACGGATCAGGCAGACTCCCTCAGAAACCTATTAATGAACAGTAGTGTTTATAAAATGCAGACCTCCATGGACAAACATTACAACCTGTAATTGTACAATTTACAAGCTTATCACATCCCCTAATGACCTGGCAGCTTGGATCAGAAAGGTCTAATCCTCTGTGCCGGGTTACCTGGACTACAGCAAGAGCTTGGGAAAAGGCAACAGGGGCATCATTTACCTAAGCCAAACTTAAGTCCCGGGAGAGATATAAACCATACCATGATGCAATGCACTTCACAGGATGACCATTAATTGCTTTCCTGATGTATGATGTTAATTAGTTGTGACCGTACCTTAATTGCATTGCAATTAAGGAATTCAGCTCGCTCGTGGAGACAGTCGAAATTCTGTTTGTAATTATGTAGCTGCATTGTAAGTCTTTTATTTACCTTTCTTCTGAGCCAAAGCTCACCCTGAGGTTAGTCAGTCTTGTCTAACACAGGGCTCAGGAAGAGCAACAGGATTAATTCCTTGGATCTTTTTTTTCATTTGCTTCCTAGATTAATGGGAGAGAATTTTTCCTTGTTTGCTTTTCTTTCTGTGTTTTGTGTGTTGTGGTTAATTAGGGGATCCTTCTATTGTTTTGAAAGAATTGGGGAAAAAAATGGTTTGTTTCCTGTCTGCTCCCCAAATTCTCATACTCTTCTTCTCCTTTAACTTCCAGGGCGCTTGCGCATGAGAAATTCACAAAGTAAGTTTGTGGTACTGCTTGTTTTATTAAAGAGGGTGATTACTTAAAATACTTGTACCAATCAGTAATAGCAATGATGCATTATTCAATTTGCTTCTCAAATGTCTCATCTGTGAGCGGCTGTGGGCATGTTCTGTTAGCAATGAAAAATATGTACTGTGGTTTGTAATCTACTGTGGCAAGAAAAGTTCCCAAAGAAGAGGCAATGGACACTGCTGGAATATAGAAACCAGTTTCTTACCACACAGCTCTGAAAGCTTTCCTCTTTTAACTAGACAGTGTCCTTGATAATGATTTTTAGACTTCCTACTTTCTTCTTGTAGAAGCAATTCAGCTTGTTTTGCAGTGAAGTGCATCCATATTTTTATTTATATATATATATAATTTATATTTTAAAGTGTAATTCAAAATAAGTGACGCCTTTGTGACTTCTGCAACTAGTAACTGCATATTCTTTTTTTTTTTTTTTTGCCCAGGGAGCTGAAATATGTGATCCAGAGATTTGCAGAAGACCCTAGGCAAGAAGTGAGTTTGTTTCCAGTTTATGTAACACGTTAATTGCAGAGATTGCACATAAACCCGTTCAGAAGATTGTTCCTTAAGTAGTTTGTTTCAAAGCATGGGGTGGTTTTGTCATTTTTTTTTTATTCTTTTAGGGAAAAATATCCACTCAGAATATAAATAGTTTCTTCCCTTACATACAAACATGTCTTGTCTGAGATTGCTCTACTGCTTGTTTTGCAGTAAACCGCAACCAACAAGATTTTCCCACTATGTTCATTCTCTCCCGACTTTTCATATTTCTTATGAAAAAAAGAAAAGCGAAAGCCATGGATCTTACAAAATAGCAGGTTTCATTTAGCTGTGTTTTAATTATATTGTGTGCAAATGACCCTCATTCTCATGAATTCATGGAAAATGGATTTGAGGGTGTCTTACTGGAATGAGTGCGTGGCTCTTGTCTCCTGGTGTCTGATGGCTTCATGTATGTAACTTATTCAATACAATCAGTGCTGACTGAGTCAGAAGGGAGGGACTTCACATCCCCATTAATTTCCAGTGTCAGCATAAAGGGAAGAAAGCTACCCTGAATTGTTGGCAAGGACACTCACTGCCTTGTCGTCGTTGCCCACAGTTTTCGTTGCTTTTCGTTGTTACGTCTCTGTGAGCAAGTCACCCTTGTCAGTTGAACTCAGAGTTCTTGTCTTAGAATGATACCAGGATTTGATTTATCACGTGTTGCATGTCCAAATGCCAGAGCATAAACTTTACATCTCATGTGCCTAAAAAAATGAAACAGAACATGTGTGACTCTAAAAAAAACAGAAAAGAAAAAGTGACTTCACTTTTGTAGTGTGTGACTAGGTATAGAAATCCCTACAGTGAGCAAATTAGGACTGATTGTACACAAAATTGTGTGCACAAATTCTTTTGTGCCTCTTTTACCTCATCTGTCCCTGTTGAATTTTGCTTATTGGTTTCCTTAACCCTGGTGCTTGTCAGCTCTGTTAGAGCAGGAACAAGAATAACTTGGCCTCATTAGAATGAGTGAGCCATCGTTTGGTACATTAGTATTCGGATCACATCGGAAGTATAGACACATATGCTGGGATGACGAGGGAAAGTGGAGGAAGCTCAGGAATTTGAGTCTTTTTTTTGTGTTGTTATAATTTTCAAGGGAAATGAGCTCCTCTAGATTAGAGCTGCTCTGTGTTTGATTTGCGTAAAAGGAAGGCAAAAGGCCCTGCAATCAGCACACAGCAGTGGTGGATCTTGGAAAGCTGATTCTGAGGGCGATGGCATCCCCGCAGCTCCGTAAGCTGCAACGCGGAGCCTCCGTTGGGTGCAGTTTGGGTCTGTGTGGGAGATGCTGGTGGTTGTGGGCAGGAGCGCTCAGGGTTTTCGCGCTGCGTTTTCGCAGGTGCACTCGTGTCTGCTGAGCGTGCGGGCTGGCAAGGACGGCTGGTTCCAGCTGTACAGCCCCGGCGGCGTGGCGTGCGACGACGACGGGGAGCTCTTCGCCAGCATGGTACGTGTCTGCCCTAGCGGGAGCCCAGCGGCTGCTCTGCAGTAACACGCCAGGCTGTGGCTCGTGATAAGGACCTGTTCTTGCTTTTGTCAAAAAAAACAAAACAAAAGAACAGGGTTACCAGAAAATCTAAGCTGTTATCTAGTTAAATCCATTGAACTTGCTTGCAGTGGCAGTTTAATTAACATGGAAACTTTGTCTTCTCAAACTTGGTCTTGTTGTTTTTAACAGTAATGTAGTGCACCAAGCTGGGCACATGTGTGTTTCTTATATATACATAAAATACCCTTACAGCATAATACACACCCCCATGTTCTTCATGTCCATCCCCACAGTCTTCATTTATGGGCTACCATGGAATTTAAAAACGGTAACAAGACTCTTATTGTTGGCTGCGGGGTTTACTTTGAAGTGACCTTCACTGGGATCTGCACTTCATGCATCTTCAACATTGGGAGTTCATAGAACTTGTGTGATTGTCTGTACTCCAGTCTTAACTTTGCATTGATACCAGTGAGCTAGATCATGTACAAAGGCTGTTCTGTGCAAGATTGGTTTGTTTTTACTATATTTTTAGAAAAATTCTCTAGAACTGAAACATTTCTCTTGAGAGCTTTTGTGGTCCAAGATATTTATGAGCATCAGGAGACAGTGTGCATGAGAAAGCACATTGCTAACATACATTCATATGCAGTACTCCATGCCCTTAGTAAGGATGTCGATAAATACTTGAAGAGCTTCTAATGACTAACCATAAAGTTTGAAAAACATCCTGTCCTAAGATGGACCTTACATTAATCTCAGTCAATATTTTCCATTGTTCAAGAAAACCTCCAAAGAAGTTTGATAATAATAAATGTGAAAACAAATGTGATAATAACAAAAGTGAAATCCTTTCTAGCTTGAAGCTTATTTTATTTTATTTTGTTTTGTTTTATTTTATTTTAGTTTTCTTATGAAAAAATATGCTATGCAATAAAGCTTAAGAAGCAAAGATTTTGTGTTCCTGTAAAGGCCTTGCTGGTGTTGAAGCAAGACCACATGAACTGCACAGAACTCACTTCACCAGGGAATAGTTTTGATATTTTTAGCTATTTTGAACATAGTCCAGGCAATAGTTTGGAGCAGGCAGAGCAGTGACCGTGTTTACAGTTTTGCTGTAGAACAGCAGGGATGTGGTTTTCACATAATGGTGCCCAGGTCATTGGAAACTGAAAATTCTCACGTGGCTCTGCTAGCAAGGTGGTGAATCAGTGACCAGAAATCCAGTTAATCTCTAGTGCTTGTAATTCGGAAAGGCCACGGATATCCTTTTTTTTTCGAGAGAAGAAATGATGTTATATTTAACTTGTACGAGCAGCTTTGTGTTTCTGCCACAGCTGTTGAGGAGAGGTCTCACCATGGGCTTCCTGCAGACACGACAGTGTCTGCAGAACTGTTTTGTGAACTCGAAGGAGTCCTACTAAAGATGTTCTCAGCTTGCCCTTCCTTACTGGAAGCTGAACAAGAGAGAAGGCAAGATAATGCCCCAAGAGCATCAAAGCACACGAAGTCCTCCCTGACTTGGGGCTTAGGACACCCTTGCCTGGATTGCTGGATTTTCTTAAGGCCTCCATTCCTTTTCCAGTGTAATTATTGTTCAGTTTGAGCAGGTGATTTTGTCCCTGCTTTAACAGAGGCTGCTGTTCAATTAGCAAAATGCCACCACTGCAGACTTTTACACAGACATCCAGCACGTGCCAGCAAGTTTTGCAGCTGGCATTTCCCAGTGAAACTGGATTACAGATACGAAAGCTGCCTCTGCTGTGGTTCTCCTGGAACGGGGCCCATCCCATGACCAGGTTCAAGGAGCTTGGAGGCTCCTTGGGAGGCTCTGGGAGGCCTCTGTCCTGTCAGCTGAGCTGCTTCGTGGAGGAAACAACCTGCTCCCGCAGGGCACACTAGGCATGGCCTGTCTCAAAATGTCACCTCCAGACGGCAGGGAAACTATTGAGAGCCATGACAGTGATGGAGGTTTCCTTTAGTTAGTTGCAAAGTACCCCTGTTTATCTCTAGCACGGTCCTTTCCAAGCACAGGTGTATTTTCCAAGCTCACATCTCTTAATCTTCTCTCTCTTTCCTCAATAGGTTCATATTTTGATGGGATCCTGCTATAAAACAAAGAAGTTCCTGCTTTCCCTGGCTGAAAATAAGCTAGGACCCTGCATGCTGCTGGCTCTGAGGGGGAACCAGACGATGGTAGAGGTAAGGTGCAAGCACGAGATGTCGTGTAGATTTATGGGCCAGATTCAAAGCTTTTTACTGCCCTTCTCAGAATTAGGTGTGATAGAACTAGAGAGATTCAGCTTGGTGTCAGATCAAGCAATTGAAATGGAGGTTATATTCCTCTTGATTAAGTGGCCTGGAATATTGTTGTTCTAGAGATGAGTTTAAATCACAGGACAGATGAGTGCAGGTCTTTTTGGAGACAGACATTGTTTGTTACAGGTCAGTTGGAGACACTGTGATGTGAAATAAACTCACCAAGAAAGCAAAGAACTGCAAAATTAGCAGTGCATAAGAAGTACGTTTATTTTAAAAGGGTTTAATTAATAAATATGCATTTTTAGGGCTTGGGGATAGGTTATCTTCCTTGGATTCTCAGTTTATGTATAGAATTTTTCTAGGTGTCTAAAAAATAGAAAGAGTTGCAATATTTTGTTGATTTATTTCTTTATGTGATGATTTAATCCAGTAAATAAGACAGGGTGTGCTACAGAATATAATGTAGCTTGATTTTGTTTTTTTCATTTAAAAGATATAAAAATTAAGGAAAGAATAAAATTGTAATCATCATCATCCCACCCTACCTTGTCACATGGGTATACTTAACATGCATTCTGCATGCACAGAAAATCCAGCACTTAAGGAACCACTTGACCCTAGTGCTCCTGTGCAGGATGCTGAACCTGCCGGTCTGCCTGGGAGAAGCTGCTTCGATTGTGTCTGTAGTGGAGAGGGCCCCGACGTGGAGCCATCAGCGGGGCTGATGCAAAGTCGTTGCACCTCTCAATCCAAAGCAGTGAGCACTAATGGAACCAGGACAGGCAGGCTGACTTTCAGAGAGCAGAATTCATTCTTTACCAATAAAAAATGCGTTTGTTGTGCTGGAAGACCAGTCAAAGTTGCTAAAATCCTCTCATCCAGCCTGCATAATGCATGCCGTAAAATGTTGTTAAGTTAATATGCAAGAGAATGCCCAGAGTGACAGAGTTTCAGGAAGAAACTGAGTGCAAGCTCTGTAATGACTCCTTTTCCCTGTCATTCTGCTGCTAGATTCTATGTTTGATGCTGGAATACAACATCATCGATAATAACGACACCCAGCTGCAGATCATCTCAACCCTGGAGAGCACGGACGTGGGGAAGCGAATGTATGAGCAGCTGTGCGACAGGCAGAGGGAGCTGAAGGAGCTGGTAGGTTGTCCTGCAGGCTGCACTGCCGGAGCACCCGGTGCTCTGCACTCCCCAGAAATGGGGTGCAGAGGCAGGGAGGTGGGCTGTGAAATTCCCACCTAGCAGCAGGAGGGGAGCAGTATTTAGGGGCTTGTCCTACGCATGTATCTGCTGTGTGCTGGCCATTGAGGTGTCTGATCCCATTTGTGTTCCTGAATGATATTCCATAACCTGCTCAGAATCTGTGTAAAAGAATAAAGGTGTAACCTTACTGTCTTAAGGTGTTAAAAGTCAAGGCTTGTCAAATCCTGCCACCTTTTGCCATAGGAGCAGCAAATGGTTCTAGCGCTGGCCAGCATTTCCTAGGACTCTCATTTCCACCCCATCTCTCTGAGAGGCTCTTCAGGTCAGACCAAATCCTGGCAGCCTGAACCAGACAAAATGCTGACCCGTGGCACAAAGACAACTAACTGCTCTTAGCAGAGGTCCCCAGGGTAGCACCAGGCCTTTATTTAGCACATGCAAAAAAAACCCCTCTGCATGCAGAAAAAGCAGGGAAGAGGTGGAAGGCCTGGGAGGGAGCTTTGTAACCAGGACGGGGTTTGCTCTGGTGAGGAGCTTGCCCCACATCGCTTGGTCAGAAACACAGGGTAGCAGCTTGTGTAACCCAAATGCATTCTCTCTTACAGCAACGGAAAGGCGGTCCCACAAGGCTAACACTGCCATCCAAGTCAACAGTAAGTTAATCATGTCAATAGAAAACAAGCTTGGTCTTTCCAGTTTCAGACACCAGGTTTATGTTTGCCCTGTGGCAGAGTTTGGGCCATCAAGAGGGGAGCTGTTTCACTTGCTCTGTCCCCAGGCCTGCAGTTTACCCGTGTGATGGGGTGTTTCTGCTCTTAGGTCTGCGCAGCAGTTTCCAACGCTAGTAGAAGCATCAGGCTGTCAGATTTATACTGGTGCTTGGATTTGGAGTTTGTGGTAGAATTCAATGGTAGATTTGGAAACTGGAGCCTACATTTTAGAAAAAGCAGATTCCAGAATGTCCAGTTCTGGATTCTACGCATTTAAACCTGAAAAACTCTATTACCAGTACAGTTGACAAGCATAAACCCAGACTGACTTCACTGAAAAAAGAGTTGGGCCAGAGCACAATTTAGATCTAGACTTGTGGTGAAACACATACTACACTGAAGTGCCCATCTCCCACGTTTGTCCCGACAGCAGAGCCTCAGCAGGATACACCCGCAAAGAGAACCTTTGCGCTGCTGTCTGGGTGCGTTTTTCCCAGGGTGTGTGAGGCAAGGCTGCCACGGGAGGCCAGCTGCCTGCCAAACAAACAGAAACTTCTCCGTGCGGTTCCCTGTTCCTGTAAACACGTGGGCTGCTTGTGCAAGCCGTGCGGGGTAGCAGTATCAGCAGTATCTGCAGGCTGGGTTCTCGGTTATCTCGCTCATCCATCTGGTGTTTGCTTGCAGGATGCAGACCTGGCCCGCTTGCTGAGCTCTGGATCTTTTGGGAATTTAGAAAATCTCAGCCTGGCCTTTACCAACGTAACCAGTGCTTGTGCTGAGCACCTCATTAAACTGCCTTCGCTCAAGCAGCTGAACCTGTGGTCAACTCAGGTAAGGGCTGTGCAGGCTGAAACTCAGAGCAGGAGCAAACGCTGACTAATTCTGAAATTTGGCGTTACGTCAGCGCGAGAAGAATCTGTGAAGAGACTTGCTTAGAATGAGTTTGTCTCCCTACTATTTTTACATGGTCTTTCTGTGGTCTAGCTGACCTTGGAGACTGATCTTGATCCGCAACTCCACCCTGGTTTATAAAGGGTTGCTGTCGTCCGGTGTCGAATGCTCCAGTTGGGCATTGCTGGTACCGTGCATTTTGCAGTGCACGTGCAGTGGGCCTCAGAGAAGTGCTTGAGCTCGTTTGGGACAAAAAATAACACCGTGCAGCTTATCTAGCCAGGCAAACACGTGCAATCTGTGTACTAAATTGCCCTGAACACAGATTAATTAGACCATACATCAAAAAGAAAAGTCAAATAATAAATATAAGGAAATTACAGTTATAATGCAGTTATTTTGTAAGCAAAAAGAGGGCAACTTACCTGAACAAATTATTCAGCAGTTAACTGAAAAAGCTTTTGAGACTGTGTTTTTCTCCTATGGTTTCCCTGTTGGTTTTGGTCTCTGTGATTCTCCGCTAAGTAGGTTTTCCCCGTGTACAATTAGCACTTATTTGTAGCACTCCCTGAAAATATGAGTGTTCCTAGCACAGCCACAAAAAGCAACACTTTTTTCACTGAAATGTCATGTAAATATTTTGCCATGATATTATGTCACATGATATTTTCATAACTACTTTAGAATTATGGAAATGTCTCCCTTTTGTGCGAGGAATATGAAACAATACGATTGTTTGTTTTATTCCTATCTTGCATATCCTCTAAATTTGATCTAACAATACAACTTTTTGCATTTGAGAACACTGATGCCTCTTGCTACAAATGAGTTTGGTATGACTAGACAAGGAGCCTGTTTTAGGGTTTTTTTTTTCCAAGAAAGTTTAGATTCTCTTTTATTTTCTCATATCCTAGTTAATAAAAAATTTAGAAACAACAGAAATGCAGTGGGTCAATAGAACGATTACCAATCAATAGTACATTGTTCTGGAGACCAAAATAGCTAATTAATGCCACTTGCATGGAAGGTTTTTAGTGATGTGGTTGGGAACTGGCTGAGACTTCTGTAACCATCTCGTACAGGCTGGGTGGGGGCTCTCGTGCAAAGTCCAGACTTCAAAGGCCCCACTTGTCATTAAATGATGCCCCGTGGTTAGGGCACTGGGTTACAAATCAGGAGACCTGTGTTCAGATCCAGGATCTGCCGCACAGTTATTCAGACCCTTGCACAAGTTGCTAAATGTTCCTGTCCCCCGAGGACAACACAACTTGCTTTCTCCTCTGTCATTTGAGATGATAATAAATAATCTGCGTGGCTTTGGAGGCTGCTCTGCAAGCCTCGCTGTCAGTGTCGCTGTTTGCAGCGAGCTGCTTGCACGGCCGCCTCGTGCGTTGTCTGACACCCCCTCTGCTTGCGCCCACAGTTCGGGGACGCCGGGTTGCGGCTCCTCTCCGAACACCTCACGATGCTGCAAGTGCTCAACCTGTGCGAGACTCCTGTCACCGATGCTGGCCTGCTGGCACTTAGTTGTAAGTGACCAAAATACCCTACACAGGAGATTCATGTGGGTGCAGAGGAATTCGTGTGGGTTCAAATGGAAGATTGATTTCTTGGCTGCCACAGAGCTGCTTCCACAGTGATCCAGGGCTGTGTTCCCATTGATCTTCCCTCCTTCCTGCCCACTCAGGTGGCCATTCAGGCCTGTGCTCTGAAGCTGCCTGCTTAGTGCGGGGCTTGCGGCCCTAGGCTGTACTGTGGCCCTTGCCTCTAGCTCCACTGATGTCATTTGTCTTAATCCCACATCGTGACCAGTTGCCCCAGGACTTCCCAGCTTTTTCACACTCGGCCCTGTGGGCGAATTCCTTGCGGAAGGGTCTGTTCTGGCGGTGGAGGAGGGGAAGATTGCAGAGTCGTGTAGTAATTTATTAGTGAGTTTTGCAACCATGCACAGCAGGTTTCCTATTCCCCCTGGCATGGTATGGGGGTGAAACTTCATTTAAATCTGGTTTAATAGCGGGGTCAAATAGGGCAAGGCAGAGCAGGGCCAGCGTGGGCCGGATAGGAGTGCTGCGGCTCCGCTGCGCACGGACGGCTGCCTGCCCTGCCGCAGGGACCCCTCTCCTGCAGCCCACCGCGTGTTAGAAACGTCACGTGCTGCTTTAAAGGCTTCCTTTAATAGGCTTGATCTTACACAGACATGCCAGACAGGCCAGGAGTTCCGGCTCGTCTTAGGAAACCGTCCTGCCAAGTACAGGAGCGCGGAATGGGAATGGGGGCGGGGAGAGGGGCCGCTGGATGGGCAGGAAACCCGGGAGGAGCAGCTCCTGGGCTCCTTTGAAGTCAGTGCCCTTCAGCATGTGCTTCGTGGCCCTTCCTAAATAGGGACTTTTCCTCCTGGATGAGGGCCCAAGCAGCTGTTTATCCATTTGTAGTTCAGCATTTTACACTGTTCAGGTTTTCCTGACCATGCTGCGTACGGTCGTGTCTTACTTATGCTTTGGCCTACTGTGTGCCTGATATTTGAAGTAAATATTGCCTGATCATAATAAATACATATCTTTGTGTTCTCTTTTAGCCATGAAGAGCCTGTGTAGTTTAAATATGAACAGCACTAAACTTTCAGCGGACACCTACGAAGATCTCAAGGTATTTCTGGTTCTAAGTCAAGTCTGCTAAGGAAGAGAATTAGCTGGTCTAGGAGCACATTGATGGCAGCAGCGCCCAGTGCAAGTTAATGAAAATGAGTGAGATGGGAACATAAACTTAAGTTCTTTCTGGTCACTGCTATCAACAATGAGAGTTTCATAAAAGAAGTGTATCAGTTGTTTCTGTTGATGATACACAGACCAGGTAATACCTGGTTTACACTTTAGAGGACGTGTCCTGGAGCATTAACAGCACTAAAGGTAAAGTGGATGCCCAGTATTACAGAACTTTGCATCAGAAAGTTAAAGGCACTGAGGGAGGTGTAAATTTGCCTTGATGCCTTTTGGAGCAGAACTCCTCTTTGAACAGAACACCTGCACAAAGGCCTGGTTCTCTTTGACATGTAACATATCTGGTGTTACTATTTGTACTGTGAATTTACGACTACTTCAGCAAAACACTTAAGTATGAGAGTGTAGCTGTGGCTGGGAACGGGCCCAGGTGGTTTCAGACAAAGGCTGCCTCAGATGCTCTGGCTCCTGGGACTTCATGCGGACTTTTTCTCAGCTCTGGAGTTGTGTGAGTCACATGTATGAAAGCAAGTGCTCAAAATGAAACTCTACATTATGTCGTCGTGCGTGTTGAAACCTTAGATTGCGCCAGGTTTACTCAAAAAGGTCACAACCTTGGGTTGTGTTTCAAACTTAAGGCAAGTCCTGAAACTGCTCTGCTTTCAAAATTAACTGTAAATGTGTATGTTTAGTTTTTGCTGTGGAGCCAGGGCTCCTCCAGGCAGTTCGTTGCAACGCTGCTAAGCACGGATTTTTGAAAATCAGCTTCTCAAAACTGGTGTCACAATCGTATATGGAGAGAAAAAGTCCTTGGAATGAACAGCTGGCTTGCAGCTGGCTGTCCTACAGTGGAGCTTGTATCAGGCCCCAAGCACTTAGAGACAATCAGGGTGAGCTCTGCGTTGGGCCCAGGGCTCTGACATCCCCTCTGCTGGGATTGCGTGGGATCCTCCGCTGCTGCTTCCGAGCCCCTTTGCCACTAGCTTCAGTCTGAGGCTCTTATTTTACGAACCGATTCCCTGTGCTCTGCTATTGCATTAAGAGCCATTGCCACCCGCCCAAGGAGGTGCCTCTCCGGGGCAAACAGCAAAACCTGCTACGAAGTCCTGGTGATTGCCCTGAATTAAAAAAGCTGGGAGAACAGTTGTGTGTCAGTCAACCAGGTTAATCTTGGTGGTCGTTTCAGTAGAGCTGTGTGTGTGTAGAGGGAGGTGCATTCCAAGGGAGGGCGATGGGTCTGTTCCCGTGGGGCAGCTGGTTGTGGGGCTGCTAGAAGAGCTGCGGGTTCCAAGGCGGCCGTTGGGGTGCGGGTGTTTCCTGCTTGCCCTGGTGTGCGGGGGGCACACGCCAGCGGTGGCACTTCCTGCAGCCCCCGCGCCGCTGGGCACGTTGCACACACGCACACCCACACGCGGGCCAGGCGGGCTGAACCAGACAATAAATAAACACCCACTTCTGAAGTCATTATTGCCTAACTGAAGAATTATTTGCTGGCAATGTCTGTAGGATTATGACTAGCTCTTATCAAAATATGCATGCACATAAATCAAGCAGTGAGGTAATAGTGACTCCTAGAAACTTCCAACTCCTGAATTGTGCCCCAGCCTAATTAAACGTGTGTGTTTGTTTTGGGAGGTTTGGTTGTACAATTGCGGTCTGAGACCGTGGAGGTGACGAGCAGGCAGGGGGCAGGTAGCCTGGGCTGCTCGGGGCGCGCCGGGCGGTCGGGGAACAAAACATGCGGTGCCTGGAGCGCCGGGGGTGAAACCACACAGAGATCAAAAGTTACTGACACGCTCTGAAGTTCCTTAGTGAACGGAGGGAAGAATGAGGCAATGACAGTGCGGAGGCTGGAAAAGAGCATTCCGTGGCTGACACTGAAGTCTGAGTCCATGCTTTGCAGCTGGAGCCTGACAAACAAGCTTTGCTGCATGGCTGTGTAAAATCGAAAGTTTGGTACAGATTTGATGGGGACTTTATTCCGAGTTGTGAAAACTTGTAAGTAATCCTGGCCTTTTCCTTCTGCACAGGCTAAACTCCCCAATCTGAAAGAAGTGGATGTTCGCTACACTGAGGCTTGGTGAACTCTCTCTGTTTCTCTCTTTTGCTTCTGGACAAGAAGAGAAAGATTTTTAAAACAAACCAGAAAAAAAAAAAAGAAAAAGGAAAAAAAAAACCCCTTTGGCTAATACCTGTAGAGCAGTGAGTCCAGGGACTTGGTGATAGGAGTCGTGGTTGTGGGTTGGGGGAGTCACGTCGTGTGTGTGTCGGGGTGGGGGGCACCGAGCGGGCCTGGACCTTGCCCGATTCTTGCAGCTTTGTAATTTCAGAATGAACATAACTTAAATTGAAAAAAAAAAAAAGACTTTGTAGCAGCAGCAAGAGGATTATAAAGAGGAAAACCACCACCATTTGTGGATTTTATTTGCCTTTGTGTTTTATGCCGTGTGGAGAAAAAAAGTATATTCATTCGTCATTATTTACCTGGGTTTCCGTGGCTGGGGACCCATCCAGTCAGAACTCCTCTTTGACCAGCTTTGCTCCAGAAAAGCAAACGTAAGAAATATCAAGAGAAAAAAAGAATAAGAAATGATTTTCACCTCCCCGCCATGTCCTTGCAGTTGTTATACAAAGTAATTTTGTTGTACATAAGATTTACATAATGCACCTATTTAAGATGATGGTTCACAAATAACAGGTCTGGGACCTGTCTTTTATTTATGAATTGTTAATTCTTTTACCCTTTTTGCGTATAGTACTGTATAAACTAGTTTGCTGTCTTGTTGTTATTATTATTTTTTTTAAAAGGAAATGTCCTTGAAGAATTGCCTTTTAGTAATGCATACTGTATTATAATCCCTCTCTGTCACAACGTTCATCGCGTTGTGTTTTTAATTTCAAAATGCCTCAAACATTATCAAATAGGAAGGAAAATGTCTATCAGGGGTATGGTTACTGGGGAAGGGTGCAGGGATTGATATAAGTCAAATTTCCTTCCAAAGTCTGAAAACTTTCTTTAGTCTTTTAAACCATGTTAGCTTTAAACATGGGGATAGGGAAAATGCATTGTTTATTTTGCCAATGGGATATTCACAAAACTCTTCAGATTTTACAAGTCACTTCTGGTGTTTTCTGTTTACGTCCAATATTTCAAAAAGAGGAAAGAAAGCTCTCCTTCCAGTTTGTGCATAAGCCTTTTCTTTTCCTTTTTTTTCTGCCCTCTTCTCCTCCCTGCCCTCCCTCTCCCCTACCTGTCCCTGTGCACACATTGTTCTGCATGTTCCTCTGGGGAGGCCGGAAAAATCACATTGTGGCTGATCTGATCGCTCTGACCTGTTTGTAAATGTGACTGCTGCATTCTCCAGATTTTCTTCCACAACTGCTTAGAAGATGATTTTTTAAAAATTGTGGTTTCTTTTATAACTATGCTGTTGACTTTTTTTTTCATAATGAGCCTTCATTGTACAGAGCTGCTTATTTAAAAAAAAATAAAAAGGTAAAAGATTTTTTTCTTCTGTTTAACACCTTTATCTTATTCTTCAGCACCTCAAGGTTTCACATACAGCCAATGTAATTTTTTATATATAAATATATATATATTTAATCTTATTCAATGGGAGCCAAGCTTATTTTTTTTTTAAACTCTGTTGCTGTGTAGAAAATCCGAACCCCAATCGTGGGTATTTTTTGTTTTTTTTTCTTTTTGTAAGGAAGTGAAACAAAACTGAGTCTTAACTCACATAGTGTGCCAGGTTCTTTTTCCCATTCAGATCCCAAACTGCATGAAGATGCAGGGTGGGAAGAAAGAAAAAAATGGAAAAAAAAAAAAAAAAGTAAAATTATGCCAACATTTTCCTTAGCACTGTTGCTTTTACCAATGGTTTACTACTACTGTTCTGTAGCTGTGTACAAAGAGATGTGAAATAATTTCAGGCAAAAATAAACTGTAAGTGACTATCTTTTAGCTGCGTGCGTGGTGCTTTCTTGGAGGGAGGCGTCCAGGCTCCTGGTGCTGTGGGGGTGTCGCGGGAGGCCGGAGGCTCCGCGCACGGAGGCCGCCTGCGCCGAGGACGGGGCCGGCGCCTCGGCGCTGCCTCCGCGGCTCCGCGCGCGGGGAGAGGAGCCGGAGCCGGCGGCAGCCACGGGCGTCGCGTCGCTGCCGCCCCCGGCTCTTGGGCAGCAGCACGAGGAGGAGGAGGAGGAGGAGAGCTGAGTCCTGCCGGGTTTGATTCCTGCAAAGCTGTGGATGGCTGTGCGGGTTCCTCAGTGTCCTCTGGAGGTCTGCGCGCGCCCGGATGGCACGGGAGGCAGCTGGGAGTCCTGTCAGAGCAGGTAAGCAGTAGGAATTGGCTTTGAACGAGCCTTGATGCTGCATCAGGACCTCTCTGACCAAGAGGGAGAAATGTAGCCCCTTGTTCCTGTCCTTGAGCTTCTGCATTGGTGGTGCTCAGAAGACCTGCCTGGAGGGAGCACGTTGTGGCCAGGTCATCTTCTGAATGCTGTCCCATCTGGCCCCAGGCCAAGCAGGTGAGATGGGATTTCACAAAGTACCTCTGCTCTCCTCGCCCCTGTGGAGCATCAGGCCTCCGTTACGATGGGGTAAAGGCCGTCTTGGTGGGGTAGCTGGAGGCTCCCTGGAGCGACCCTTTTGGTAGATCGGTGCAAACACATAACTGGAGCAGGGCCTGGATTCTGACTAGCAATCTCTTGCAATAAACGTATTAAATAATAATGATGATCTTGAAAGGGCCTAGCATGTATGCAAACTCTGCCGTGAGTCACTCTTCTGAATAATACAGCGAGAGCTGCAGCTGCTTCCTTCCTTCCCCGGCATTTTCCATCCCCTGGTGACTGGGATCAAGGGCTCGGTAGTGACCTCATGCCTCCAAGGCACCAGGATTTCTAACCCAGAAAAGAGCTCCTTGAAACTTTCTTTACATCCATAAGTAATAAGACCATAGTACTCTAATCAGCTGCATGTTAAAGGCAATGCTGACCTCTCCCAGCATTTGTAAAACCAACCAGATGCACTCATTGGAACTTATCAGTCAGCTATATTGCTGTCTTGAATTTTTAATGATTTTTGCCAACTAAATATAGTACATGCAACAATACTTAAAGCGTTTTAAGTGGATGTCAACATCCATTTTTTTTCCATTCTCTTTTCTATTGATTGGGAAATATCGTAAGTCAATATTTGAGATGAGCTACTTCTATTAATAATAGATCTCAGAATATCTTTTCACTTGGTGTTACTAAATATACTGATTTTTTTCCTGCTAATGTGATACCTGACTTTTTTTTTTTAGGTGATTTCACTTTCATGTAGATGGAACAAACACTGTACTGTATTTGTACTTTTAAAATAGGCATTATCAGATTATAAATATATATGTACACAAATCTCAGTGACCCACTGATCATGAAAGAACCCTGTCAACACAGCAGTGCCAATGTAAATATAAGTTCTTTTTCTACGAATATCTACAAAGATTAAAACAAAGTCAGAATATAACCAGAATAAATCGGAATATAGTTTATAGCTCATTTTCAGGTCATCACCGGTTGGTTGAGCAGCCTAAATAGCTAGTTTGCTGCACATATTGAGCAGCTGCTCTAGGAGCTGTTTCTTCATCAAACCCTGTTGCAACTGAAGTGTAATATCAGAACATTCCTAACTTGAACACATTTTGAAGTTGAAATGTTCACAGCATTAAATGAGATGCTTCGTGTCCCGCAGTGAAGGGCTCTCTCCCCTGGGGTTTCTGTGGTTCTGCTCCACGTGGTGCTTTCCCCGAGCCAGCGCTGCAGGGGCTGCAGACGCGCAGCGAGCGGGCGGAAAGGCCGGGGCCTGCGAGGCGGCCCCAAAGCAGATGTTACAGCTCATAGGGCTGCAAACGTGGTCTGGTGTGACGAGCAGGACTAGGACCAGAGAAGACTGATGTCTTGTAGATGGTGTGCTTGAGTGTGTGGAATTGCTCGTGTTTTATTAGATGCTTCAGTACCTGCTGGCTGTAGAGGGAACAGAACGCAGGTCTGTCTTTTCTGTCGATGCCTGTGAAGTCCATGGAAAGCTTGTATTTTTGAGGCTATATATTATATATGTATGTACATGTATTCATATATTTAAGTTAGAATCTGGGCAGTGTACCCAGAAGGGTACAGATAAGGGACAGTTGTATGCAAGAGTGTTCATGAAAGCAGCTTGCTCTTAAACCAGAAGCACAGCTCACTTACTGGACAGGGTCTGGGTCTCGTATGCACACAAATTACTCCTCTCTCCACATGATGCACCATCCTCCTTCTAAGGGATGTGGCTTCATCAAGGTCCACTTTTCCTGAAAGGGAAGCAGCTGTGTACGAACAGTGAGCTGGGCAGAGCTAGGATAGGTGCCACTGTAACAGGGAAAAAAAAATAAAAAGTAAATATTTATAAAAATCCCCCCCCAAAAAAAGCTAGTATTTATAAAAATCCCAATCAAAGGTAAGGCTAAAGTAGAATTCATAGTGATTAAGATCCAGAGCTGTATGTCAGAGGGGCTAAACAGGACATCTGGGCTCAGCTGCAACCCCACTCCTAGCTCTATGTGTGTTGCTAGCTCTATGAAATGCTTGTTTTAACATCGCAGTGAGCGAGATAACATTTATTATATTGTCCTCTGGAGCAGCATGACCCAGACTTCTGCAAGCTGTCCTGTCCATGCTAAACGCCTCTCCAAGGGGAAGTGAAAGGGGGCTCCAGGATTTACCGCAGCGGGTTGTATCCCACCTGGAGCAGGGGCTGGCTGGGCGTCGTGCCCGGGCACAGTGACCCCTGCAAGGGCGAGGGGAGATCCCTGTGCCAGGCCCCGCTCATGTCATCGCGCCGGGACACGCCGGGACAGCAGCAGGAGAGGCGCGAGGAGGGTTCGGAGGTGCCCGTGGTCCCCGCGCAGGGCCGGCCCGGAGCTCGCGCCCCGCAGTGCGGTTTGGTGCTGCTGCCTGAGCCTCTCTATTTCTGAACCTTATTGCCAAAAAAGAAAAAATGAAAAGAAAAAAAGTCACACTTGAGGTTAACGCTGCTCTCCGCAGCGAAGCCGATGACATCAATGTTGCCATGGTGACAAAACCTTCACTTAGGTATCCTGAGTGCTGTTAGCCGGCCGGCTACCAAGGAAACCCGCCTGAGTGACACCAGGAGCATCGCCGCAGTCCCGGCCTTGGGCCCTGGGGACCTTCCTCCTCCTCCACAGCTCCACACGAGCTGCGCTGCAGCTCTGGTCTCCTGCAGGCACCTTGTGTCTCTTATGGAGGTTCCCCGGCAAAAGGTGCCATTTTTCATGGGTGCTCTCGTCCCAGCAGCTCCTTCCCTTTGCAAGGATGAGAAGGGATAACTGCGATCAGCTCCGGTGGCTGGTCCCCTCTCGGCATCGCGGCAGCTGCGCCCGTGATTCACGTCCCCTCCGTGTCGGTTTTAAAGACCTAGGAGGTCTTCACAGAGGCTCAGAGATGCTGGGCTGCACCTGCAAATCAATGAAGTTCCTGTCGGTTCTGGCGTGCGGTTGCCCGACTCGGGGGCAGGTGGGTGACGGGATGTTCCTGTCCCCCACGGTGCCCTTGAGCTGCGGTACTGGCCCTCTGGCGCAGCCCCCAGGGGCGCAGAGGGGCTCTCTGGGTGCACTTACACCTCGCTCTGTTCCCGCGTGTGGTTCTTGGAGTGTAGTTTAAGGCAGGCTGAAATGCTCATTAGACAGAATTGGGACTTTTTCTATTTTTTTTAAGATATTGGATATAGGTTTAGAGGCTGCAGTGATTTACTGTGGCAAATGCTGCTGCTGCACCAGTTCAAGTGCGACAGGAGACAGCCCTGTGTGACCCCAGTGGAGAACCTCTCTTTGCCTGTCTGGACAGCAGGCTGTTGCCTTGCTTTTATTTTAGAAGACAGGGTGTTGGATCTTGATCAAGCTGTTGTTGTTTGAGAGGAAAAAAACATAAAAAAAGACCTGGTGTGTCTAAAAGAGAACCATCTGCTGAAGCGAGAAGCTGCTGGCTTGCAGGATTCAGGGTCTGCAATTAATCAGCCTCCAAGTCAGGTCGCAGATGAGAACACAAACGAGTCGGACCTGTAGTTGGAAAGGAAAGTAACAGCCAGGGAGAAGCAGGACGCGCCAGGGCAGCCATGGTCACCACGCGGGATCCGGGAGGCCTTCAGCAAGGTAAATCAGATCAGGGACTTGCTGCTTAGTTTTCAGAACGAGTGCTGAAGGATGAGCAGCACCTCAAACCATTTTTGCATTGGGATTGGGGAAGCCACAGTTTGCTCCAAGGCAGAACTAGAGTTTCAGAGCCACCAGAGCCTCCAGTTGAACCCTAAAACATATTTTAAAAAATCCAGGTAGTTACATGACA